TCATTCTCCCCTTGTACTCGGCCTTAGTGAGGCCGCAGCTGGAGTACTGTGTCCAGTTTTGGGCTCCACAATTCAAAAAGGATGTGGAGAAGCTTGAGAGAGTCCAGAGAAGAGCCACGCGCATGATCAGAGGTCAGGGAAGCAGACCCTACGATGACAGGCTGAGAGCCCTGGGGCTCTTTAGCCTGGAAAAGCGCAGGCTCAGGGGTGATCTGATGGCCACCTATAAGTTTATGAGGGGTGACCACCAGTATCTGGGGGAACGTTTGTTCACCAGAGCGCCCCAAGGGATGACGACTAGGTCAAATGGTCATAAACTACTACAAGACCGTTTCAGGCTGGACATAAGGAAGAATTTCTTTACTGTCCGAGCCCCCAAGGTCTGGAACAGCCTGCTGCCGGAGGTGGTTCAAGCGCCTACATTGAACACCTTCAAGAGCAAACTGGATGCTTATCTTGCTGGGATCCTATGACCCCAGCTGACTTCCTGCCCTTTGGGCAGGGGGCTGGACTCGATGATCTACCAAGGTCCCTTCCAGCCCTAATGTCTATGAAATCTATGAAAGGACCATAATAATTGTCACCTTCGTAAAGAAGGTCCTTTATTTTTCCTCAGCCTCAGAGTACCACCCTTCCCCTGGAGCCTGTAAGCCTACACTGCATGCCACAGCTTATAAGCAGCCAAGCTATGTCCCTTTTGATCAGCTGACTGCTGCCCCTGGAGATATGCCCAGTGGTTCTTACTCAGCCTAATTAATTGTTGGGCTGTTCTTGCTCTGCAGTTTCCCCAAGGATCTTAGCAGGCTCCGGCCCCAAGGCTGGAGTTCTTGTTGCAACAGTCTGCCCCTGCCCGCTACAAAAGTCCTGATTCCCCTCTGATTGCAGTTAGCTAGGTTGGGGTTCCTTGTTACATAGTTTCTGTCAGTGGAAGCACATAGTTTACCAGTACTAGAAAGCTAGTGAAAAATCACTGGAACTTGGAAGTAGAGCAACAGACAAGCATGTGTTAATTCCTAATGAGCAATTATGGATGCTTTGACATCTCTCAAACCCAGGTCATGGAATGTTGCCCCCCCCCCCCCAAAAAAAAAAAAAGAAAAGAAAAGAAAAAAAAAGTAAAGGGTAGCTCGGCCTCCATGCCTTCAAGAAGATCTACAATGCTATTGTTCAGGAAGACTAATGCTGTACCAGACTTTGAGTTAGCCATATCCCTACATGAAAACTTGTCATTTTGTAATCAACATTCTTCACTATCACCTTTATTTCCAGCCTACCTGATGCCATCGCTAATCCAGCTAATCTAGTACAATTGGCATATTCACTGCATTTAAAAACCTGGTTTTAATTTGCAGAAAGAGGGTGTTCATTTTAATTCACCTTTCACTCAATGTAAGTGAAATTCAACTCCATGAACAGGACTTACATAAAGTTTATATATGACTTAAATGAGGCATCAGCCTTGCGTGGCCTCTCTGTACTAGGGTGAATCTAACCCTTCTTGGAATAGCTACCATGGTCAGCATTTCATGGGCAATTTATTTCAATACAGCACTAGTCTCCAACATTCATTGGCCCATGGGCAACACTACTGAGTGAGCAGTGCTGCAGGGAATATAATAATTATTCTCTCTGTCAGTCTCAGTTTTAAATTTTTAATTTTTAGGGTCTAGGAACAATGATAGTGTGTCTTGATCTATGGGTTAGGGTCCACTGTGGTAGGGTACATATAAGAATTTGTAATGTTAATAGGGATCCTACAGATGGCAGGCAGTAGGTATATATTGGCACTGCACTTAATTTATAACAGAAATATTCTGCATATAGGAATACCAATTTCTTTACTGCCACTTTAGCCAAGTCTGCTTGCAAGATTTTTTTTAAAAATTTGATAGTAGGTTTTGTGGCTTCTTATTCAATCTCCATGGATCTTAATACATTCCAGCAATGGGTAGCGATTGTAAAATTCAGGTTTAGTGGAATATTGCTCTAGTTGGTTAACATTTGGTGAGAGGTTTGTGGCAAATATTATGACTTGCCAAGCTGGTTTGGGAAGATACAGCCTACTTGCCAGAGAATATCCTACACTTAGTGAAAGAGTATATAATACCCTGCTAAACTCAGTTTTTAAGTGGAGTTTGGGATTGTTTTAAGGTTTACAAAATGACAGTGTTCATAATTTCAACATTTAAATTGCTTGGAAGCTAATTTGTCTTTAACCATTTTGTCTAGTCATAGTAAGCACAATAAATTTGGAACTCTTTTTACTCTCTTGATTAGTCGCAAGAATAAGTGACTAATGCAAATGCATTTCAAAGGACTTTAGCACTATTTATATAAGAGGGAAAAGTCATTGCAACCTAAGGTAACAGGAAGGTAGATGTGAATACCTTACACTTGGTTTACCCATCTATATCCTGTCTTATTGAATTAAAATACCAGAATGACATAATGGGGATTGGTTTGTTAATTCTGTTGTACCTAACAATGCAGATTGCTATTCTCTTTCAAATGACAGGTGTATTATTCATCATTTAATGACTTAAGTTTTCACCTACAACTATATATGTATGTGGACACACTGTGTGGGTAATCTTTTGCAGAACTGCTAGTGATGTAGTTCTTGCCTATAAGCCCCAGTAATCATTTCCCATGATCATTGTATCCCCGTCACATATCAAAAGTCACAGATGAGGCAGATGGTCACTGATAGTCTACAGCTCTTGAACTTCTCCTGTAAACAGGGATAGCAGCAGAACAGAACGGCTAGAGGCCAAGGGAGCCTGCTATCGAAGGAAGCCGAATTAGAGGACTGATTCTGTAGAGCTCTGGAGGCCACTTCTATGGCTCTCCAAACCTCATACAAGAAATTCCATAGGAGCAATAACATAGTTTTGCACCATGTTCTGTTGTTGTAACCCAGATCAGCTGGCTGCCCTGGTACAGAACGTGTAGCTCTATCACTGCTCTTGACTTTTTTCTTTCCTCTCCACAACCTTAATCTGCATGAAACTTGTCTAGTAAGACTATGCATGGTTTGCATTTTGTGTTAGGAAGCATAACTACAGTATGTTTCCTAACACAACACATTAGATTATTAGCTGAATGTAAATAGTTTTCATCCTGTAAATCTGTGACAGTAATGTATATCATTACAAGAAGACAAGGAGTTAAATAAGATGCTTGTTAATGAAGGCATCCACTGATTTAGTTTTAGTAGTTCAAATGACTCAACTCTAGCACTGCAATGGGGCATATTAAAAGAGGCCAGCAGTCTTCAAGCCTTCAGGGAGAAGTTTTGATTAAAATACATGCTCTAGTACTCATAGAATGTGCAGATTTCCTAGAACAATAAAATTCATCATAATTTGCATTTGCAGAGAAATTTGACAAATAATTAAGGGGCCTTTGCTGTTGCTGTAGCAAGAACTGTCCCAGTGTAGAGGAAAGGAAGGCTCCCCCAATGCAGCTGTGCCACAACTCACCTGTAACATGCTCTGTTTATTTTAGTCCTTGACCTGCCATGAGTGGAAGCTGCCAAGTGTGCCAGTTGGAAGGCTGCTGCTTTCTTTTATTTATGGCATAATCCAAATTTGATGTTAAGCGTCCAATAAGAAGCTGAATTGATAAGTTCAGTGTATGTAGGTGAAATTTTTAAGTCGGCTGTTGTAGAAGGGTATGGAAAGGAGACAAAATACAGTATTTGTTATAACAACAAATATAGTTCATGGTTGCCTTTTGTCTTTACAGGTGAATTTCTGGTTCTAATCTTTTCAGGCAGGAAGATGTATTCAGTGCTGAATGAACACCAGTATAAGAGCAATTCCAAACCAATCCCTGTGGTCATCATAGGTAAACGTTCTATTTGCAATCCGTGTTTGCTGCAGGCATCTGACATCCTCATCAAATTGTCCAAGGTTTATGCTGTATTTTCTCACATATACCACATCTTTTTCCTCAAAAAGCAACTGCTGGAACTTAGAGTGCACACTATATACAAGGAAATACAATAAGAGCAATTTCCACTGTTTACTGAGTAAAAGTAAAGTCTGTGTGGGATTCACAGGGAGCAGAACAGTGAGCAGGCTCCGCTCCCTAGCTGCTGCTATTCAGTTACGTACTTACTTACTACAGGGAAAGATCTTTTTTTCTTCATTCTTTGCTTCAAAAACAAGGTATGCATCTTATTCTGGGGTGTCTCGTGCATGAGAAACTAAGGCAATTAAACCTATAAGTGTGCTGCGTATTTCTTTCTTTGATTTTCTGTAGTGTATGGAGGAAAATGTAGTTTGATTTAAGGATATAAAAAGTTATAATTTATGGCTCTTCTGAGAGAGAATTCTATAATCTTTAGGACACACAGTTTGGCTTGTTTTGTGTTTTGGAGAAATTTAGGGTTATTTCACTGAATTTTCCACCTAAGAAGGTGTCATATAGTGTTAATCATGTTAAATGTATATATTTTCAGCTTCTATACATGGGGTCTGCTCCAAACCTCACTGAAGTCATGAGGAACATTTCCATGAATTTTGGAACAGGGATATAAAGTGAAAAATATTTGGCCTGTACACCAACTCTTAAGTATTTACATTTTTTCAAACAGATGTTTATCTGAAAATTAAAACAGTGCTGCTTTTTGTGATATTAGAAAGCAAGTTAGTTTGACTTGTTAGTGAATCAGGAAGTGCAGCTTCATAACACTATCTAGCCATGGTCACGCATAGCAGCTGTATCTGATTCTGCAGCCGTGATAGATCACAGTATAGGAGTCTTGCCCTTTTTCCTGCGTGCCTTGATCAGTTTGGGTCTGTTTCATCTCCACTATCCAATTCATTCCCTTGAAAAAGATCCAGGCCAAAATCTATGCACCACCTAAGTCTCAATTCCTGTTAACAGTGGCTTTGCCATGTGGATGGTTGTCTCAGTAAGCTGCATCCTGAGAGAAAGCATTTAGGTAGACAATTAAAGAAGCTTGTTTTTTCTTGATCAGGTTGGTCAATTCATCATGTTGCCTTCAAAAGGGCTTGATATCAAAACACATGCAAGTTAAAGGCTCTCCTGATGATCTTCAATGCAAAGATCCACTCATCATAAAAGGGAGGCACTGGAATTATAGGAAGCAGCTCTGTAATTTGACAACAGTTTTCAAGGAACAGTACCAGCTAGGTATTATTTGAGGGGAACTGTAGTTTAGTCACTCCCTCAGGGGGTGATTATACTGATTTTAGGGTTCCCTTATTTCAGGAAAATCAGCTGGATAGGTCCAACTGCTTTGTCTTCTCATTCTACCAGCTATTGGTATTGTTCTCAAGATTAGCATGAGACCCTCAAATGAAGAAGCATATCATTGTGACAGTGAAAGAAGATTCACACATACAATACAACTTTATCTGTAACTTAAACCCTTATAATCAAATATCTTAAATAAGGCTCAGGGAGTCTATCATAATTCCTACAACAAAAGGCCAAATTAAGACTGCTTCTGTTTTAAGCACCATTTCAAGTGAGGCAAGTATAGGGAAAATTACCACCCAACTCCTCAACAGCTACCAATATTCTTTTTAAGTACAAACTAACTTGAACCCAATCTTTTGTGGCATGTCTAATTCAAACAGTTTGGCTTGGATGGAAAACTCCAGTCTCTGATAGAAGAGAAAACAAACTTAGGAACAGAAATGAGATGTGACCTTTGCTCCCAGCAGCATACTGCTCCCAATGTGGGGATTATGACAGAAATGCTCAGAGATTGCACAGAGATTTACAGACTGCTGTGTCACCCTGACTTTTCTTCCCACAGAGCATTATGCAATTGTAGTCAGTGACATACAAGTAAGCAGCTTTGAGCCTTAGACTGACAGCAAGCTATGCAGACACTGTAAAATATTAAGCATATTGGAAAACAGCCACATGAAAACTTTTCACAAACTACTATGCTGTATGCTGAAGTAGAATATGTATATGAACTTCCTAAGACAGCTGTCGGAGTTCCTTAGGAAGAATGAGTTGTCTCATTGTTTTATTCAAAGTGTGATATTTTGTGGGACTATATTGGTGTGGGAAAGAGACCGGTTCTTTTCCTAAATCTCCAGCTCACTGCATGGCTTCAGCAAATATATGGAGGAATGGAGTGGAGTGAAGAACAAAACTTCAGTCTACAGGGCTGAACTGAAACCTAGTATAAACATCTTCACTGACTTCCATTTAAAAGCAATCTATCAATAAACTAGAAATCATTCAAATTTAGATAAGAGAGAGTTTGTTTGGGTTTTTTTTTTTGCTGGGTTTATAGCATGTTAAGACCAAGGTCTTACGGAAATGTGTTGAATAACAAAACCCCAAATCTGAGAATTGGCATATCGGATATTAGGTACACAGCATTTGCTTCACATATAGCTAGGTTCCTCCATGACCTAGTAGTTAGTTGACTTTTATTTTTATATTTATTTATTTACCTAAAGTTTCAAAGCAACTCATTACAAGATAAGTCTGGTACTGAATTCCTTGGCCTCATCAGATAATCTCCAGCAAATATTCTAAAGTGAGTAAAAACTAAATCCCAAATCTCTCCATAATGATAACCTATTTGCTTCCAGATGCCTATGTATTGTGGCAATCAAAATTCAGCTCGCTTGTAGGCCCACAGTTTCTGCCAGTGTTTGCCAAAGCATTTGTGTCAGTGGAAAAAGAGACTCCAACTGAGATCAGGGTTCTGGTACCAAAGAAAAATAAGTCTCTCCTCTGAGGAGCTTATAGTAGGAAGAGACAAAAAAGGGAAGAGCAGTGTGACTTGAACAAGGTCATACAGCAGGGTGATGGCTGACTTAGGAATCAAACCCATGTCTCCTGAGCTGTAGTCCAGGATGCCTTCCAGTGAACTATACTGTTTGTCTGAGATGCTTTGTTAAAGACTGTTGTTCCGATCACAGCAGTAATTTTAAGTTATTTATTTATTTGTATGTTAGGAAATGGCCCTTCAGGAATATGCCTTTCCTACCTGCTGTCTGGCTATATCCCATATGTCAGCAGAGACTCTGTTCACCCCCATCCTATTCTACAGAGGAAACTACAAGAGCTGCCAGAGGTCTCCATTTTAGACCAGGTGTGTATAAAATGATAGGGCCTTTTAACAGGTGAAAGCCTCAATAATGGCATAATTAAATGTGCTGGGCTTTTTTATTATTTACAAAGTCAAATAAATGACATTGATGGTCCACTTGGATAGCCCAAGAATGCAGGCAAAACAAATTATAACCACATTCTAATTTATTTTCCAAATTGTTCTTGTGCTGGCTCTTTATACAAGTACTAAGCACTGCTTATATCTTCAAACAGTTCATAAGCCTTGTATTAACTAAGTGAATTTCAGCACTACTGAACACTAAATGATGTTATTTGTAGCAGCTACATTTCAAAGTGATGTGAACTCTAAGTTTCAATTCTGCCTTCTAGGATCTGCGGTACCTTTCTGAAGGCTTAGAGGGACGATCCCACAGTCCTGTGGCTCTTCTCTTTGATACTCTATTGCGTCCAGATACAGATTTTGGTGGAACGGCAGATTCGGTCCTTTCTTGGTGGCATGAGGCTAACAGAACCATTCCCCATCTGGTCCTTGGCAAGAACCCTCCTGGAGGTGCCTGGCATGTATGTGCAGCTAGATCAGTGGGGCCAGCCTGTTTTGGCTGGCATGTCACAAACTAATCTTATGCTCTCCCCAAGTGCCACTCTGGTTTCCTTTCTCTGCCTGATCTGTTGCTCTGCTTTCCTCTTTTTTGCCCTATCTGCCACTGTACTCCCTGTCCCCTCCCCAATCTGTTGCATGCCACACACAGATGCTGCCCATGCCACCTGTGGCACATGTAATGCAGGTTGGCCATTCCCAGTCTAAATGATTATGCTTCAGTCTGTCTCAGGATAGCCAAAGTGTCCTAATTCAGGAACATAAAATATTCTTGAACAAGCTAGTCCTCTAGGTAAGTAGCATCCTACAGGGCTCTGCTTTATACATCCCAAAAAAGTAAGAGGGTTTGAATGGATGTGAGAGTTGTACCCCAGCTGACTTCTACCTTTTGGCTCAATTAGGCTGAAGTCCATTAGCTTCACTGAAGTCTTATTACCCAGTATGTGATGGAATGGTTGGACTGTACTATTATTGATTAATTCCTTTTTTCAGAGGCTAAAATGATTGACTTTTTTTGTTTCAGTCTATTGAAGGATCTATGATCACTCTGAGCCAAGGAGAATGGATGGGGCTTCCAGATTTTCAACTGAAAGACTGGATGAGGAAAAAGAGAAGGTGAAAAGACCTGCTATACAATTCCCTATTTCTATCATCTAAGGGCACCTTAACACATGCTCTGGGGGTGCAGGGGCAGGGTGCTTTAATTAAAGCACTACCATATCTCCTGTATCAGTGTCCCTGTGCTTAAAAATGGAGGCAAGGGTGCTCAAACTAAAGCTTGTTCAAAGAGCTTTAGTTCAAGCACCCCCACCACCATTTTCTAAGTGTGGAGACACTGATACACAAGATGCAGGAGGCTGCTGGAGCACAGCAATTGCCACACTCCAGTAGATTTGATTAATAGAGTCTGCTGAGATGCACTGGAATTCCAGTGCATTGGAGCAGTCTCCACAGTCATGTATAGGTGCCGCCACCTATATGTAAAATTATATGTTATATGTAAAACCAGTGCAAAGACCTTGCAGCAGTTAGCTACCTATTGTAGATGAAGGACATAGACAGAAGTGATAATTTTTGCCCAATCTGGCAAAAGCAGTCTACAGCCATAACAAGTGTATGCCTGCAGGCCACTTCAAAAATGGTCAGTTGTGCAAAAATCTGAACCCACATTGTATGAGGGTTCTGATGAATGAAAATATTTCAAAACAGAGCATCTTCTGTAACTTGTGTCTGTGCTGCCTGCCAGCCTCAAATGGTTTTCAGAATGGGAGCAGTAGTAGTTGTCTGGGATTTTTTTCAGCCCCCACTGGAGGGTGGGTCAAGTATATTCACCTACCCTACCCCCCAGAGCCAGCTGGGGAAACTTCTAGAACAAGGTCCCTCTACTCCCTTTTCCCCCCTCCCATTCTGAAAACAGAGACAGGCTAGGAGGGTGGAGCGGTCAGTGCTAGGGGAAACTGGCTGCAGGCTGGCAGCCAGCAGCTAGATTCACCTCCCCCTTGAAACCAACAGTAAACTTCTGTTTGGTTCAGGGGATCATGGCAGCTCAGAATGCTTTCCTGCAAACAAAGCTTGGGTTTTTTAAAGTTTAGTTAGGAGGCATGGAAAGCACTAACTTTTGTAATCTGTAGTCCTTTTGTATATTTGCACTATTTCCTACTGGCAAACCAAATCCACCAGAGGTACAGTGCAATCATTCAGATGTTAAACTGCAAGTTGACTGTTTGTATCTCTTGGATCTGTAATTTATTTGCATTTTTACATTTTAATTCTGAGGAAGCACAGATCGAAAAGCAAAACAGAAGTGATAAAAAGTAGTAAGTAAATTGCTGTGGATTGTGGAGTTTTCATAGCAGGCAATATTGCTGCTTCTTGTGTGATCATCTCTTTGTAGTTGAGGGATTAACTGAATTACACTGGTATAAAATTAGTGGAAAGAAAATGAGGTTTAGTTTATCTGGTAGTGTTGGGGCATATGACTGTCCAATACATTAATCAGAGAAGATGAATTATGTGATCATAATTTGATAATATCTTATTACAGGGGCCTCAGAAACAACAGAGCTACAGCAGAAGACATCGCTCAATATTATCAAAATTATGTGGCAAAGAAAGGGCTGCAGAGGAATTTTATCTGTGGGACTGTTGTGACATCTGTGCAGAAAGTGAGCCAAGATGTAATCTCTAACAATTCACAGCAGGATCCTCAGAAGAATGGTGGTTCCCCCTGGGATTTCCCCGAGACAAATAAGAAGAATAACCAGGTTGCTAGTGGAAGTCTCTTCCAGGTGGATGGATTCATCAAAACCATTATGGGTGATCAGATGCCCTTCTCCATCTATGCAGAGAATGTGGTCTTAGCTACAGGAACCTATGATAGTCCCTCATGGCTTGGGGTCAACGGAGAGGATCTTCCTTATGTACATCACAAGCTCTCTACCCTTGAAGAAGCAGTGAAGAACAAGACAGTTGATATGACATCAGATCCAATCCTGATTGTAGGTGCTGGCCTGACAGCGGCTGATGCAGTTCTCTTTGCTCATCACTGCAGCATCCCAGTGATCCATGTTTTTAGGAGAAGAGTCAGTGATCCAGGCCTCATTTTCAATCAGCTTCCCAAAATGATGTATCCAGAGTACCACAAAGTGCATCAGATGATGACAGAACAGTCAGCTGCTTGTTCAGGGCCATATGAATGTTACATCAGCCTTCCTGAACATCATGTGATGTCCTTCACAGAGGACAAGAAGTGCATCTTTCAGGATAAGAAAGGCCACCAGAAAGTCTATAACATTTCCATGGCTTTTGTTCTTGTTGGCTCAAACCCCAACCTCTCCTTTCTACCAAATAATGGCATTAACTTGGCAATGGACAATATGCAACCAGTCAGTCCCAAGAGGAATCCCATAGATGTTGACCCATTTACATATGAATGCATTCAGGAAAAAGGACTATATGCTGTGGGGCCATTAGCTGGGGACAACTTTGTGCGTTTTGTGCAGGGAGGGGCTCTAGCTGTCGCTAGCTCTTTGTTACAGAAAGCAAACAGAAAGCCTCCTTAACAAACAAAGCACAATAAGTCAGAAATATTGACATAGATTATACTATTCTCTTTGATAGGTGTACTTTCCTACCCAGGGTGCTCTTCAAGGCTGTGCAGTCATTAGGTTGTCAGTAGGTCTGTTTGGGAAGAATAAGCCAGCAAGCACACTGCTTGGAATTTAGATTTGTAGTGTTGCTGAAGTTTCTACCATGTTAAATCTGGAGTAGCAGTTCCTTCTCTGCATGTATTTGCACTATAGCAGATGGAGCTTACATCTTATGCTGGGTATACTGGGGGGACAAAGAGTCCAGCTATCTTCCAGGCAGTTGAAAAGTTATTTTGCACTCCTGTTTAATTCTTTTCTAGTGGCCACATTAGCAAGCCCTATATTTGTTGTCTTTACAGTGTTTCTGGATAACACGGGTAACACTACATAATACAACAACAACAACATCTTGCTTCATATAGTCTCATGTGGCACAGTTGTATGTTCTTGCTGTGCAAGAGTCATTTGAAAGCTGTGCTGTAAGTATCTTACGTACCTAAAACAGAATTCATCAGTGTAAAAAAAATTGTCATAAAAGCACTGTCTGAAGGGTTTTATCACCTAGAGACCAACGTTTTTCTGTATGTGGTTTCTTTGCATGTAATACAGATATGTATTTTTTTCTTATGAAGAAATCTTTTGCAGTAATGCCACAAACTTACTAACTTTAAGATGACAGTTTTTAAAAGTCAAAAACCAGAATGATATATGGAGTAACTATGTTAAAGATAGAAATAAAGAGGAATTATGAGGTTAAAAGATCCAGTTAGTATATCTAGATTCTGCACATTCATTTTACTCTACTCGGTAGAGTTGGACTACATTAGATATGGTAGCATGGGCCATGTAGCATAATGTTTAAGAACATTTATACAAAGTATGTTCTTTAAACAGGAAAATGTGCATGACGTCTCATTACATTTCTCTTTGAATTTTTTCATAATTTTCTACTCAAAGAGATCCTAGATTAATACTGGAAGATAGAGACCACTGTAAATTGCTTGATTCTGGAACTTGAATAATAGCTCTGATGCTACATTGAACCTTCATGGAATTCAGTGGGCAGTTCACATGTGGAAGGACTGTGGCTAGGAAAAGACATGTAAAAAGCCTGAGCCTGAATTGATTCAGTCTTTGCAGCTTAACCTGGCTAGGCTGAATCAGCTTGTAACCACTCAGACATCCCCTCTGGACTGGAAAAATGCAGGCACATGCCTGCAGTGGCTCAGGCTAGAAGCTGGGGTGGGGCTACAGCAGGCCTCCCCTCTTTACCAGGGTGCTCCAGTTAGGGAAGGGACCCTCCCCCCTTCCCCCCCACCTCTCTCTGGTCAGTGAGGGAACCAGCAGAGATTTAATTACACAGCAGGGAGCATTTATCACCCCTTCAGTCAAGCTCTTCTTAAACAGCTTGTTCCAAAGAAGGAACAGTGGGACATTACCAGTGTAACAGGAGGGACGGCAGGGTCGCCATGCTAGCCCTTGCTGCCTCCTCTACTGTGCCAAGCTTCGGACTTGCATCCTCCTATTCTCGCCCTCCACAACTTTGATGATAAGTGTTTTTTGTAGGGAGGCTACCTCTCCTCCACTTGGCCACCGTTCTTCTGCTCCAGGTGTCTGGCGTGTCTAGGCCTTGCGGGCCTTCTCTATACGCCACCCTTCTCACCGGGCTCTTCCCTCTGCAAGGCTGCCCTTCTCACCGGGCCTTCTCTGCGCCGTCGCCCTCTCTTGGGGCCTTCTCAATAGTGCCCCCTCTCTGGGGCTCGTCATGCCCACACTTGGGCTTCTCAAATATTGCCCCCTTTCTGGGGCTTGTCATGCCCACACTGGGCTTCTCAATAAGGCGCTCCCCTCTCCGGGGCTCGCTGTGCCCAACTTGGGCTTTTCTAATAATGTCGCCCCCTTTCTGGGGCTCGCCACGCCCGTGCTGGGGCTTCTCAATAGTGCCCCACCTGGGGCTTGCTACACCCACACTGGGGCTTCTCAAATGCCCCCTTTTTGGGGCTGGGGTCTAAGCACCCCATAAGCTGCGCCCTCACTGGCACCAGGCCCCCCCCACCACTGTGGCTCCCTTTATGAGGAGCTTCCTCATCCTTAGCTGTTGGTAGGGAAGCCCTGCTGTCTTAGATGCCAGTCAGCAACTACCTCTGGTCTCAGCTCCCCTCCTCTCATAAGAGCCAGACCTTGTCTCTGATAGCCAGCTGACCACTGGCAGGTGTGGGTCGTTTGCTGGCTCCCATTGCCTTGGCAACCAGCACCTGAGGAGTCTTCCGCACTCTCTCAGTAGCAGGCACCTTAGTGTCCTGCTACAACCAGCTACTTGTTGATTAGCTCCAAAGAGCCCTAAGAGGCACTGTCCTGTCTGTCTTGTCTCCCACAGCATGGACCATAGCCAGCATGTGGTCTGCTAGCTAATGCTGAGAGGTGTCTGTGTAAGGCAGAGGGGAGGGGGGAATCCCTGCTTCAGTGGGGGGGGGGGGGGAGGAAAGCAGGAGGAAGCCAAGTAGATGTCCTGTACCTACAATCTCCATCAGAGCTGCAGCCAGGGAGCAGAGGGGAGGGGCCAGCCCTACTGGGCTGGATCAGAGAGCAGAGCCTGGCCCAGAGTTGCCAAGCGACTGGGATGCTGGAGGATTCCGATTTAACTTAAACTGGGAAGGGGTCTGGGACAGATGTTGCATAACTGATTTGGGTCAAACCAGTTTAAGTCTGATACTACATTCAACCAGGTTTATATCAAACTGGTTTCAGTCATTTTTCAAACTGGTTTATGTACAATGAACATCTGTTCTGTTACAGGTTTAAACCAGTTTCTGATCATGTAAACTGTTTTATGTGTAATGTCCATCCCTAGCCTGTAGAGTCATGGCCAATATGCTACCCAAGGTAGAGGCCTGACCTTGTACTTCTTCCTGGGCCAAGATTTCCATTCAGCCAGCAAGCTGTTCAGAACAAGGCCTAAACAGACCACTTTTCTGTACCAGCATGTTGACCATGCAGAATCCTTTCAGGCATCTGCTTACCTAGAAGAATGTGCTGCTTCATTAAGTTCTAATGTCTCTGGAAAGTTGCATACATTTGTTTCTGGTTTTTTGGGTTTTTTTGTAGCTGAATCAACTCAAAAGTTTATTAGCAAAAGGTGGGGGGAGGAGTGGGGAGGTGAAGAGCACAATCTGTCCCTTTATGTTGGTGCTGTCCTTTAGCAACTTTGTGTAGCACTCTAGTACTTTTAATTCTATTTTTTCTAAGTTGGCCATATCATCTTTGTATATGGAATTTAAAAAAATAAAATAAATGCAACCTTATTCCTAGTGTAGTAGTTTACTTCACCTTTAGCTGAATCACTGACCAGAAGCCATGCCTTACAGGACAATGGTTTGTTAGCTCGTGTCTACCAGGTTACTGGCAGCTTCCAGGATGTTACTAAATAAAAGTAACAAATTTGCAGTATGTCCACTAACCATCACTTTCATAAGAAAAGTACCCATGTCTTTAAATTGTAAAGTACCATGAAAAGAAACCAAAAGAGATCAGCTGTGCATAGAGGAATCACCCAGGAGTCTAGTCAATATAACCTTTGTGACTGAAGTTTTATTTAGTTACCACTACTAGCCCCATCTTGAGTGTAGGCATGATTTTCTCATCTTGTCCCACTTCTCCCATAATACATGCCTATCATGTGCTGGCGTGGTGGCAGTAGACAAAGAGCACATCTTTGTGATGTGCTGGCCATGAAGCCCATGTGTAGACTCCAGACACCTTGTCCCCAGTCACACAGAACTGTGTTGCGGTTATATTCATAGCCTCCTATAAATAAATGGTCTTGGTCTCCATTATATTGATATCTTCAACAGTTATGGGTGCTCAGATCAGAGCTCAACAGGTTATACCTCTGGAAAGCTATCATACTGCAGCTATTCAACACTGTATTCAAACCAACATATCAAGGGTAAGAAAGGGGACAGACCAACCACAGGGTTCTCACCCAAACTCCATAACTTGCTAAGGATCTGCACAAGGGGTAGGACCAGGGCCTTCTATTCTATGGGCTCTCTGCCCGTGTTCTTTGGAGACTGGCAGCATGGCTCTGAGGACTCTAAACTTCCAGGGCCTCCTGGGGAAGCCTCCCTTCCCCTGCATGGTAATTGTTACCATATAGGGAATTCTGTGGTGCAAGTAAGAGAGTCCTAGGCTAGGCTACCTTTTTTGGGCAGTCACTAGGAGGACATGACTGAGAAAGTGATAGGCAACTTCTGTGTCCAACCCACTGATCTCCTAGTTCAAGCTTCTCTCTCTCCCCCCTGCACAGGTCTGCATAAAGATGTCAGTATTGTCTAGAAGAAAAAGGTAAATGCCACAGAAGGGGATGAGCATCTTTGCATGATAAGACAGGAGTCAACTCAGTCTCCTTCAGTTTCCTACACACTTCCAGTAACCTGACTGCCCAGTCATTCATTCAACTCACATTTTCTTTGCAGAGGTCCCAGTACTGAAAGTTTTCAGTGTCACACTATTTCTGTGGTTCAGTTAACCTTCTCTAAAAAAAGATCAATAAACATGGTGGCATGCACCTTTCTAAAAATAGTTGTTTCAGTCAAGTCCACAATTCCCACATCAGCAGCAAACAGAGCAGAGTACAAGAACCAGTGGGTCATCTAAAAAAATGGGACATCAGTGAAGAGAGGACTGGGAATAAGGGATATGTGTAGCAGTGATACCAGCTGAAACAGTGCTATTTATGTCGCTAAATTAAAGCTCAATGACTAGTGCTCATACTGTACATTCCAGCTTCAGCTGCCATGTCACCATGATCTAATTTGACATAGATCTGGGAACTGCTGGTCAGCAAAGTCACACCTTCCTAATTTAGGGGTTGTTGGTGATCTTTCTTTCTTTCAGCTTGTATGTTTTCCTAAAAGAATAATGTTTTTGAAGAATAAGCAAGGGAACAAGATTTTTTATAGCCAGTACTAAAGACCTCATGTTGTGCATCATAATTTTACTACAGCAACTACCCTCTCTGCTCGATGCTTTATTACTCAGTAGTGGGTGCATCTATACATGTGCTTTAGTGTGCATTAGCTTATTTTAATGGGCTTTAAAGCATCACTAAAAAAACATGCTATTTAGTTAATATGCATTAAGACAGGCTAATGCACATTTTCCTAGTACCTCACAATGGAGAGCACGTTTAAACATACTCCAGCAGTGGAGGGGGCAACATTTTAATTAGAGCAGCTGTAATTAAAGTGCCGCCACATCTTAAGTGTCGGTGTCCCCATGTCCCCACAACAGGCAGCCCCACCATGCTTACCAGCCCCAGTAGGGTGCAGTTTCAGGTCTTAGACAGGACCAGTCTTCAGGCCTACCTGGTCTTACTCATCCCTCTCTGGGTTCACCCAGGCCCCTCACTAGGTCTCCCAAACACTTGGCCCCTCTCTCAGGGTTCACCTGGCCACTCAATAGGCCTCTTGTGCACTCATCCCCTCTCTCTTTGGCCTCTCTACAGGCCCCAGGCACTCAGCCCCTTTCTCATGGCTTTGATCCCCCACGCTGGGTCCCTCCATCCCTTTAGTTCCTACCCAAATCTCCAGATGTTATTCTTCTTGCTGGCATTCAGAAGTGACAGCCTTCCTGCTGGGTGATATTCCTTCCCAAAATGTTACCACCAGCCCTGCTCTCAGCGTCTGGGCTTATACCTGTCTAAACCCAGCCCCTCTCCAATCAGGTGACTCCCTTGATCAGGCCTAGCCTCACCTGCCAA